AACCTCTTGATTTAAAGAGCCTAGGGCCGGGGTTGAGGACTGGCTATCAGACCACTGGGGAAAGTGTTAGATATTCATTTTCCAGTGCAGAAGAGCAGCATGTGAAAATTGTGGTTCACCAAGAGGCCAAAGCAAACGGAAAAACAGCACAGGGTTGGAAGCTTAGCCCCATCAGTGCCGAGCAGTTTAGGAAGCTTTGGTTTTAAACATCAGACACCAACTAGGAATGATTTAAGCAAAATATAAAATTAGTAAGATATCAGGTCACTCACAGAATCACCGGGAATGCTGACAAGCTGGGATTATGAAGCAGGCAGGAAACAGGTTGGGGGTGCAACATGGGGCCCATCAGCTTGTCCCACAGCTGCTTCTAGCCATGGGCATTACTCTCAGTTCTCTGGTTCTCTGGCCTCTGGAAACACAAAGTGTTTCTCACAGTCCTTGCTTCTTCGAACCTTTGACTAATGATTCAAGATCCCGGGCAAATATACCTATTGTACAAGCTTCTGCTAGGGAGAGAAAAAAAATGAACCAAACTGATGTTAAGTTGTTTTGCTGAACCAGCTACTCTTCTAGAAAAACAAGTTTCAGATAGACTTTTACTGAACACGTGATCAGGCAAACAAAAACTTATGAATGGAAAGTCCGTGACATAAAAGGAACCAAAACTAGTTCAACATAGCATTAATCATAAATCATTTTTTAAAATTGTTTAGCAATAACAAAAGCAAATATAAAAATAATAGTTCTTCACATATAACATATGCAATATAGATAATCAATAATAGTGACTAAAGTCCCACTTTGTTGGAAAAAATTAGAAAGTTAGTAGCATGAGAAAAAGTAAAAGCCTGCTAATTTCTTTATATAATACAGATTCTTTATATGACATTTATATAATGAAGTGTCAGATATTCTTTGATTATTGCTATTGATAATTAGAACCATATAGATTAATGTTTTATTTGAAAGAAACTAGTAAGAAAAATAGTAAAAAGATATGTCTTTCAAATTTATAGAAAAAAATGACAATATAGTTCATTAATTAAATGGTAGAGCACTAAGAATAAGAAGCATAAAAACAAAAAAGTGAGATAGAAACGAAATGAATGAGAATTAGTGTTGTGAAAATAAAGAAAACCTCATTAAAAATGGATCTACAGCCAGCCCAGCCAATGAGAAATTGCCACACTCAGCCAATGAGAAGCCACCACCCGAACTCTTTGAAACATTCCCTCCCAGCTTTACCCTTTCCTCCATAAAAGCAAGATCCTCTCCTCTGTTCTCCAGACCTGCCTATGGTTTGTCATAGTTGGCTTGTCCCCAGTTGCAATTCTCTGTTACTCCTGAATAAACTCATTTTGCTGGTAAAACAGCTGGCTCTTTTGTTTTTTTAAGGTCAACCATGTGAACTAATACAGTTTTCTATTCTTTCTTTCTTTCTTTTTTCTTTTTCTTTCTTTCTTTTTTTTTTTTTTTGAGAGAAAGAGAAAGAGAGAGAGGCAGAGGGAGAGAGAGAATTTCAAGCAGGCTCCACGTTCAGTGCAGAGCCCAACATGGGTGTTGATCTCACAACCGTGAGATCATGACCTGAGCCAAAATCAAGAGTCCAATGCTTAACTGAATGAGCCACCCAGGTGCCCCCATACTTCTCTGTTTAAAGCCAAAGTATTTTAAATTTAAAAAATATAATAGACATCTGGTTGCATTTCTAATACTTATTACTCTCTCTTTCCTAACAGAACCCAGTTATTTTAAAAATATTCACATTATCCTCCCATGCCTGAGGATAATCCTGAATAATTTAAACCAACAGGTGCACAGAATTGCCCTCTAGGCTGTTATTAGTTCACCCATGAGCACATGGTTTAAGTTGGGCCTATCCCACTGAAGGGAAGAAATTATAGTCTTGCTACAGGTCATCTTAAAACTATAAGGAGAATAAGATTTAGGATAAAATCACTGCTAGATGGAATAGTGTGGAGATTGAAAGGTCATGGGTCCTTGATGACATAATTGAGCCCTGATTATCCCACCTAAGTTCCCAAATACGTGAGATAAGGAAGTTCATATGTTTAAAGCCAGAGATTCCTGTTACTTTGAGCCAAAAACAAAACTCAAACTATAAGTCTAGTTTGCTCTCTACAGTCAAAAATCAAGCTCCAGTTATATGCTAGCTACAAAGCATACATACTCTTAATAGGGCTTTGGTTGAAATGTAATGGACGTATATAATAGAAGAGTATGTAGCTATTAAAAACAATGAAATAGATATCATCTGGAAAGAAGATAAAGTGACAGGCAAGGTAAAGAACAATGTGTGTATTTTGATAACATTTCTGTAAAAATTATATGTATAATGCATTTTCTTATGCAGTTAGGAGTATTTCTATATTAATTAGAAACTGTTACAGTGCAATGCATGGCTGGAGACACAGTGAGAAAGAGGTCTACTTTTCATGGTGTCTGCTCTGTTCCTTTTGAATTTTCTACCAGGTACTTGTACTATCTAGTTAACACATAAACCAAAGTAAAATTGAGTTGAAGATTAAAACCAAAAGGATGAAAAAAATATTCTGTTAACATTTTGAATACTTCAGATAATAACTCTTTAAAAAAAGTGCCAATGGAACACTTTATCAAGACTCATCATACGTTAGTATACAATTATTTCGAGTAACTTAAAATATGCCTATACAGGCTCAAAGGTTTTCTTGTTGTTTTTGTCTTTTGTTTTTTCTTTTTTCTCACATAACAAGAAGTCTAGATGAAAAAAGTAACTGATGCTGGTTCAAATCTCAAGATTTCACAATAGATTTCTTCTGTGATTTTCTTAGCCTTTCTTTCAGGTTGTAATATGGTTGCTCTTGCTATCAGCGTATCATCTACATTCGAAGCAAAAATAAATAAATAAATAAATAAATAAAGAAATAAATAAATAAATAAAAAGGAGTTGGGGAGGAGATAGATTTTCTTTGTTTCAGGAAAGGAAAACCCTTAGCAGGAAACATAACAGACTACCATTCTGGAAAAGCGTCTTCTGGACCCGCACAGCTGGAATTGGTAAGGGAAGTGGCAAGAAATTGGGTCAACTAACCAATATTATTCACTGACTTATGAGATCAAGAAAAAGACCTCATTAAATTTTAAGAAGCAGAAATTATGCAAAACCCATTTTTGCAACACAATATCATCAAAACATTAGTTAACATGAAATGTCAAAAGAAAGAAAGAAAATTTTCCAGAGTTGAAAATTAAAAACACTGTCCTAATTAAATCTCTGGTCAGAGAGGAACACTCTTCAATTGCAAACTCTTTACAAAATAGTTATAATGAGGATACTATATATACAGATTTATGGTGAATTACTAGCACTATGCTCAGCTGAGCTGTTAAGGTCCTAAATATGTCACTAATAAACAAGAATAAATGGAAAACTAGTGAATCTATTCTAAATGTTGGATTAATTTATTTTTATATTTCTAGGGAAAGCAAGGGGCTGAAATTCAGTAATTAATATAAATTATGTATTAGAAAAATAAAAAAATAAAATGGAGAGAGACTCAAATTTACTTATTTTAAAAATCAATAAAATAGGCAAATTTTGACCTTATTACTTCATAAACTAAACTTTTAAAAAAATAGAGAAAAAACAAAAACATATAAAATTTTGTACTAACTAGACTTCTGGTTATGCATGTCAAATTGAAAACCTATTATATCTCCTGGGCGCCTGGGTGGCTCAGTTGTTAAGCGTCTGCCTTCGGCTCAGGTCATGATCCCAGGGTCCTGGGATCGAGTCCCACATCGGGTTCCCTGCTCAGCAGGAAGCCCGCTTCTCCCTCTCCCACTCCCCCTGCTTGTGTTCCTGCTCTCGCTGTCTCTCTCTGTTAAATAAATAAATAAAATCTTTAAAAAAAAAAGAAAAGAAAACCTATTATATCTCCTTTCCTTGAACTTCTACTAAAATTTCAATAAAGTAATAAGATTATTAATCTACAAAGAGAAAGAGAAAATAATCTACAAAGATTATTAATCTATAACAGAATAATAGTGATGCCAACCATTATTTGGAAGCTAGGAAGCATTTGTTAAAAAACAAACAACAACAACAACAAAACCTCTGAGAAAACAATCAAGAGGCAAGAAATGGAAAATAAGAGAAGAAAGGGTAAGAATTAGGGATAATTCATAAAAAATACACATCAGGTAAGTGAGTGTTCCAAAAATAATGAACAGGGAAAATGGAGAAAATTATAAAGAATTAATTAAGGAATATTTCCAAGAACTGAAAGATCAGGGTCTACAAGATTAACTAATTGCTCAGATTACAGATTACTGATTGAAAAGAGGCCTATCTAGAGCTCATCATTATGAAGAGATAAGCCAAAGGGCATTGGAATTTTCAAAAGCAATACTGGAAACTAGAGGACAATAGAACACTGACTTGAAAATTCTGAAGGATATAGTTTCACTCTAGAATTGTATATCTAGCCCACATAACAATCAAACATAAACATGGAATAATACACATTTTTTTGGCATTTAAGTTCAAAAAAAAAAAAACAGAAAAGAAAAGAAACAAGGAAGGAAAGAAAGAAAAGAGGGAGGGAAGGAGAAAAGATAAGAAGGGAAATAAACTTCTCTGTATTTTTTTCCTCAGGAGTTTGCTAGAGGATGTGCTCCACCAGAATGATAAATGTTTGATAAATTAGTGGTTCTCTCTTTCTCTATTTTTTTTTTTTTGATTGAAGAGCTATTTGCCCAGATGAAAAAAAGTATTTGCATAGACAAATTGGTTTCCAGGAATTTCCAGAAGTAAACAGTGACATTATTTATTAGGGTTTGCTTTGTTTTGTTTTGCATTATCTTCCTGGACAAAGTTATTTGGACAGATAGGGGTCTCCATTCTTAGTCTTGGTAATTAAGCTGGATGGACATAGATTGCCTCAATATTTCCTCCCTCCCTCCCCTCTCCCATCCTCTGTCCCTTACTCTCTTCCTTCTCTCCTTTCTTTTTGTCTTTCTCCCCTTTTTCCTTTATTTCTTTAGACTGCCGTCCTAGAGCCCTCCTTCCTCTTTCTCCTGTCTAGTTGACAGGTCTCTGAGCTTGCAGTGTGGTGGACATTCTGGGGCTTCTTTTTGTTATTGTCTGGTATTGGATCCTAATGTTTCCTGGGGCTTCCTTTTACATAATTCTGGTGGAGCACATCCTCTAGCAAATTCCTGAGGAAAAAATGCATAGAAGTTTCATTTCTTTCTTATCTTTTCTCTTTCTCTCTTTCCCTCCTTCCTTCCTTCTTTCTTTCTTTCCTTCCTTCCTCCCTTGTTTCTTTTCTTTTTTTTCTGTTTTGAGAACTCAAATGTCAAGACTCACTCCAAAAACATTGTCTCCCTGTTCTGACCTATTTTTTCACTAACATCACCTAATCTCAGTAAATTCCCAATCTTAAACCATTTGAGCTGAAATTCCAAAGCCCTAGAAATATTCTCCCCTAAGTTTTCTTGCCTAAAATATCATTGTGACACTGCCAATGTAGTGTTCTTCCTTATGGTGGTGTTCTTACAGCAGATTTAGTAAACATCCTTGCTTGATTAACAGGTTACTGTGGTGTAGTGTGTATATGGGGGGGAGGAGTGTGTGGAGTCAAGCTGGCTAAAGAAAAAAATAGCTAGGTTATCTGACACATTTTATCACATAGAAATAATTTTGAGAGAACATTAGAGATGTGTTGGAAGAAATCTTGTAATATGTTATATATATAGTCTATTATATATGATACATGATAAATAGTGGAAAATGTTGGAGAATTATTCACTCCCCAAAAGGTAATAAAAATATAAGAAACAAAGCATAATCATAATGCATTGGTTGAGTTAGTAGTAAATAACATTTTAGGGTCGTAAGTTAAAAACTGAATTGAGATTTAGCTGGAAATTGTGGTATAAATGTTAGGATAAGAGGAGCAAGATTGAGAGAAAGATGGAATAAAAATGCTAAATCTTCCTCTACTATAATAGGAAATTGATAAAAGAAGAAAGAGGAAACAGCACACATTAAAAGGTAAATACCACCACCATCACCACCACCAACAACAAAAGCTGAAAGATTTGGAAACATTGCCAAATCGATCAGGGTCCCTTCCTTAGAACAGTGTTTGAGCCTCCTAGTTGGCACTGTGGGGGTGACACTGTGATGGAGAAATCAGAGGTGGCAAGTATAAAAGAGCCTCTCTTTGTCTGTCTGTCTCTCTCTCTGCACAGAGAGATGTCTGGAAATATGTTCTCATGTATTGGCAGTAGTTATTTCCCAGGATTTTTTTTTTTACATTCTTCTTAACATTTTTTCATAGATAAAATTTTGATAATGAACATATATATATATATATATACACACACATATTTTGATAAAAGTAATAACTCATTTTCTGATTAAAAAAACCTTTGAATCAAATTTCAGTAATAGCAGCAGAAAAGGAAACCACCACACATAAACTAAATACAGCTTTGGTTAGAAGTCGTTCAGTCACTGGGCCACACAGAAGTTGAGGACAAGCTGAGGAAGGAAGGCTTGCTGCTGGAGCAGGAAGTAGAGTGAATGGGTTTGGTGAAGAGGTAGTCTCCGCAGCGACTTCTTACAGTAACACAGCACATTTATAGTCAGATGATCTAGCGTGTAGCAGCTAGAACTGTGCCTCTTTCACTGCTGTACTGCAGGAATCATAAATAGTTATGACTGATACCATCGCACAGGAGGCTTCATCAAAATGTTAAGTTGTCTAAAGAAAAGCTGGTAAAATCTTCAGGATCCCGAGAATCTCTTTAGTTCTACTCGAATACTGGAATATGGGCAACCAGATAGAACTATTATAATAACTTCATAAAATTCTTGCAGCCTTCATCATCCTTTTTCTTTTTAATATTTATATGTTGCTCTCCCCCACATTCAGTAATTACATGTATCGCTACAAGTTGAGATCAAACTCTAGAGCCTCTGCAGAATTTTTGATGCTCCCTTTATGAGACTCTGGAGCCTCTTTAGAAGAAACAAATTAAAAAGCGTCAGTTTGGATGGTCACAGGCAGCTACTACCAATGAAATACCTTATTATTTTCGACTGGCACTTAATATGATCAATGAAACATTTCCATGAGATTTATTCTACACAGGATCTTGGGAAATTCAGCCTCCCAACAGATCGTCCTTTGCTGGCTGCCAACAGAATATTCGATTATTTACCTTGTCTGTGTGATTCATTGGGTTTGAAGATGGGGAACATCAAAATGATTCTCCTGGGCATGGAAAGAAGGCAGATAGAGAAAATGCCCGGCTTGAGGATGTTTAAGATAGTCTTTCTCCCTTAATCATCAATCACAGTGTATCTTTTCCCTACCCCCCCCCTTTTTTTCCATACATGTACAGGCACAGAGCTAGGATTATGGGGTCATGAGTTAAGTCTTCTGCTCACCACCTTTCCCTCTTCAGTATCGCTTGTCTTCTTAGGGATCATTACTTCACTGAATGCTGTGGAGTATTGACATATGTTTACAGCATTACTGCTAGTACCATGCTCCTCTCCTTATTTCATGGACCTGAGGATTCTACTGTGATGAATTTTTCACTGATGAAAACATATCAACTTATGATAAGCCTAAATCCTTCTGCACTTAAGCATTAATGGCAAAAAAGCAAGTCTTTATTCAGGTGATTTAGGCTGGCACATTCTGACATGGAAATCAGAACTCTCCTCAGAACACTCTGGTACATTTATGTATTTTGTAAGGGCTATTAAAATTATCTAGGGGTTTTTCCAGGGAAATGGTGTACTTTATTAGTTAAGAATACATACTTTGGTATCAGACTTCTTGAGGTTGGATCTGCCAGTTACCAGCAGTGTGACCTTGGACAAGTTAGGTAATCTCTGTCTCAGGTTTTTTATCTGTAGAATAAGAATATTATAAAAATGTTTATATCAGAGTTTTGCTGCAAGGATTCAATAAGACAACATATGTAGTTTTGGCCAAATCTTGCCACATTTAAATGTCAGTGATGATGATGAAGAAATCCTAATGCTCATTCAGCACTGGTTTGTTTTAGCTGATGATCTCCACCATGCTTCTTCCCATTTCTACCAATAATTGAGGAATTGGGCTAAAGTTTTGTTTCAAATATATGTTATATATACATATGTATGTATGTCATACAAATATATGTATGATACTTGTTATATCAAACAAGGTACTTAGCCAGATATACTTAGCCATGTGTGGACTGAAGTCCACAGAACATATTTTATTTTATTTTATTTTATAAGATTTTATAAGATTTTATTTATTTGACAGAGAGAGACACAGCGAGAGAGGGAACACAAGCAGGGGGAGTAGGAGAGGGAGAAGCAGGCTTCCCCCTTAGCAGAGAGCCCGGTGTGGGGCTCAATTCCTGGACCCTGGGACCATGACCTGAGCTGAAGGCAGACGCTTAATGACTGAGCCACCCAGGGGCGCCTGAAGTCCACAGAACATATTTTAAAGTGAGGCATATAGTGTACTGATTAAGAACATAAGCTCTTCAGGGTACCTGGGTGGCTCAGTCGGTTAAGCGCCTGCCTTCGGCTCAGGTCATGATCCCAGGGTCCTGGGATCGAGTTCTGCATTGAGCTCCCTGCTCAGTGGGGAGCCTGCTTCTCCCTCTCCTCCCTGCTCACATACTCTCCCACTATCTCTGTCGCTACCTCTCTCTCACAGAAATAAATAAAAATCTTAAAAAAAAAAACAAAAAGACATAAACTCTTCAGAAGTCAACCCCAAGATTCAAATCTTTGTCTCACCATTTGCTGTCTGTGAACTTGGGGCAAGTTACTTAATCACTCTATGCCCCACTTTCCCTAAAAATAGAATGGAGAAAATAATAGTATATTCCTCACAGGATATACCTAAGCTCCATAAATTTTATTTATAAAAACTTTGAAGCTTATTATTTGAAGCTGGAAACTTCCTGTAAAGTTTGAGGTACATACACAGTCTAAATTTTGGAAACTTCCCATATTAAACCCCTCTGGGATTGATAAACTTCACTTTTTTTTTGGTTAAGCATTTACTTATTAACTACTATGTCCTGGGTACTGTGATAGGGATGGTGATAGGATGAATAAAGCATGGCCAGTCCACTTAGCAATCCCCAGTCTAGTTATGTGACAAAGCAAAGGAAAGCTGGGGAAATCGGGATGTAGTTTTGCCTCTGCATGTCCTTGAGACTGTTACTTCAACCATATTTGTTGCAGATGTGGATCTCATTATGAGATCTAATCTTCAGTTTACCCTTTCCAATATTTCAAATACTCCATCTCTATTGGTTCTATAAGATTTGAGGCTGATACTGTTATTTCATTTCCTTCCTCCCTCATTTTTCCCCTTCCTTCCTCCCTCCCTCTCTCCCTCCCTTCATTCTTTCTTTCCTTCATTCCTTCTTTCTATACTTCCTTTTTTTAAAAATGAAAATATCTCCAAAAGAGTTTTATAAAAGCTATTAGGAATTCCAACCTAGTATAATTTAGGTTAATCAGAGTTTCACCACTGCTGGGAAAAAAAAACAGATGCTTGAGGGAATCAGAATTTTTCTAGAAGCAAGAAAGGGGAGAAAGATGTAACCCGGAGGCTGAAGCCAAGCTCTTGAAAGTTTGATTTGGACAACTGGTCCTAACTGGGATGTCTAGAGGCCAGGATAATGACTCAGAGTTGCTGAAGGAGAGAGAAATGGCAGGGGGTAGAAGAAAAGTGAAGTGTTGCTAGAAGGACTCAGAATTATGTTTTTCCATGTCCGTCATGTCCATTATGTGTTTTTTTTTTTTTTATTTTAACATTAGAAAAACAAAGTGTGGAAGCTGGAAAGGAAAGAGATTTTAATTGTCAGCTCTGTTGTATAATGTAATTACATTCAGATTATACAACAGAGCTGGCAGTTAAGCCAATTATAATTGGATTATAATTCCATATAATCTAGAATGTAATTCAACACCTGTGTGTTGAGCATTTATTATATGCAAAGCATTATATTATGTGTGGAGGATATAGAGTTACAAGGGCGGGAGAATGTGTCTTAAAAGATGCACTTCTGAGTTTCTTCAATCTTTAGCAGTTTGGTGTAGTGTCGGAGTTCTTAACCTTTTCTTTCCTCCTCAACATCACTGAGGGATAAAACATACCATTCTCAGCAACAGTAATTCAATTAAAACAGTGACTCTCAGTGGGGAATTTGGAGCAAGAAGTTCTGGAAGTAAGCCATTTATACTTGAAGCTTGGTGGCGGGGGGGTGTAATCTGGTATGTGTGGGATTTGCGGAGTTTGGTAAAGGGCCCTCATGATTCTGATGTTTTTACTTATGGGTAAGGATCATGAGGTGATCTTCTCTCCTTTCTTATTTCCTTTATGAGGATTACAGTATATGAAAGAAACCAGGTCTCATAAACCCCAAACACCAAATCCCCACACACGTGGACCTTCCCCAGGGTTCCATACAATTCATCTGCCCTCCATCCCAAAATTTGTAAGTAGTCAAACAGGAAATAGACAAGCACAATCTTTACAAATCACTGAATCAAGGTTTGTGCTCTTTGATCAAAATCTTTTCTCTTACTAAGCTATTCTTTTTTTGTAAAAGTCATCAGGGAATCCAGTTTATTACTCTTTTTAAATTCTAAACTCTCTATTTCATCACTCCCATCTTTCTTTTTCCGTTATTTTATTTTTTTTAACTTTAATTCCAGTAGATTTAACATGCAGTGTTATGTTAGTTTCTGGTGTACAATATAGTGATTCAACAACTCCATGCACCACTTGGTGCTCATCATGACAAGCACACTCCTCAATCCCTATCACCTATTTAACTCATCCCCCTGTCCAACTCCCCTCTATTAACTATCAGTTCTCTGTAGTTAAGAGTTTGTTTCTTGGTTTGTCTCTCTCTTTCTTTTTTCCCCCTTTACTTATTGGTTTTGTTTCTCAAATTTAACATATGAGTGAAGTCCTATGGTATTTGTCTTTCTCTGACTGACTTTGCTTAGCATTATACTCTCTAGCTCCATCCATGTCATTGCAAATGGCAAGATTCCATTCTTTTTATGACTGAATAATATTTCGTTGTGTGTGTCTGTGTGTGTATATATATAAAAAACATCTTCTTTATCCATTCCTCTATTAGTGGACATTTGGCTGCTTCTATATTTTGGCTATTGTATATAATGCTGTTATAAACATAGGGGTACATGTATCCCTTTGAATTAGTGTTTTTGTGATTTTTGGGTAAATTTACCCAGAAATGTGATTGCTGGATTGTAAGGTAGTTCTATTTTTAACTTTTTGAGGAAACTCCATACTGTTTTCCACAGTGGCTATCCCAGTGTACATTCCCACCAACAGTGTAGGAGTGTTCCTTTTTCTCCACATCCTCCCCAATACCTGTTGTTTCTCATGTTTTTGATTTTAGCCATCCTGACAGGTGTGAGGTGATATCTCATAGTAGTTTTGATTTGCATTTCCCTGATGATGAGTGATGTTGAGCATTTTTTTTTTGTTTGTTGGCCATCTGGATGTTCTTTAAAGAAATATCTGTTCATGTCTTCTGCCTATTTTTAATTGGATTATTCATTTTTTAGCTGTTGGGTTTTATAAGTCCTTTATATATTTTGGATACTAACCCTTTATCAGGTATGTCATTTGCAAATATCTTCTCCCATTCTGTAGGTTGCCTTTTAGTTTTGTTGATTATTTTCTTCACTGTTCAGAAGCTTTTTTATTTTGGTGTAGTCCCAATAGTTTATTTTTCCTTTTGTTTCCCTTGCCTCAGGAGACCTATCCAGAAAAACATTATGGCCAATGTCAGAGACATTACTGCTTGTGCTTTCCTTCTAGGATTTTTTATGGCTTCAGGTCTTACATTTAGGTCTTTAATCCCTTTTGAGTTTATTTTTGTGTATGGTATAAGACAGTGGTCCAGTTTCATTCTTTTGCATGTAGCTGACCATTTTTACCAGCACCATTTGTTGAAGAGACCATCCTTTTCCCATTGGATACTCATTCCTCCTTTGCCAAAGATTAATTGACCGTACAGTTGTGTGCTCATTTCTGGGTTTTCTAGTCTGTTCTATTCATCTATGTGTCTGTTTTTATGCCAGTGCCATACTGTTTAGATTACTACTGCTTTGTAATATAACTTCAACATTTACTTAGTTTAGGTTCCACAGCTCAAAGTTGTAATAACATTTTTGCCAATACCATCAATTCTCTTGCCTTCTTGTGAGTTTTGTCATTCCTATCTGGCAAAACCCCTGCTCAAGATGAACCCAACAATATTTTTTCTCTACTTTGCACCCAAGTGTGCAAATTATACTGGGTAAATTCACAAACCATGATTTATTAATCTTATTATAAAGTCATAACCAGCAACTTCAATAGAAAATCTGCAATGTCCGGGGCTGCTGGGTGGCTCAGTCGGTTAATAGCTGATTCTTGATTTTTGGCTCATGTCATAATCTCAAGGTCTGGAGATCAAGCCCTGCATCAGGCACTGCACTCAGCTCAGAGTCTATTTGATATTCTCTCTCTCCCTCTACCCTTCCCCCTGCTCACACACTCTTTTTTTCTCTCTCTCTAAATAAATAAATAAAATCTTCAAAAAAATAAAGAAAGAAAATCTGCAATGTAAGAACTCTTCAACATGAATTGGGTTTATTTGCTTTCCCTCATGAATTTGTTTTTCCAGTTTTATTGAGAAATAATTGATACCCATCATCATAAAACTTGAAGGCACACAGTATAATGGTTTGATTTACATATATTGTGAAGTGATTATCACAATAGGTTCAGCTAACATCCGTCTTCTCATATAGGAATGATAAAAAGAAAACAAAGAAGAAAAAATAAAGAAAAAATTTCTCCTTGTGATGAGAACTCTTAGGATTTATTCTCTGAACAACTTCCCTATATATCATACAGCAGTGTTAGCTACAGTCATGTTGCAATCAGTCTTCTTTGTCTTGACTTATGAGCAGAGACTATTGGCCACTCTATTGCCCACATTTTTCTTGAAACATTTTGTCTCCTTTGCCTCTGACAGCTCATGCTTTCTAACTATCTGCGGTCCTTCTCTATCCTTTCATAAGCTCATGCCAAAATACTTAATAATGAAGGTTTCCATTTTATTTGTTCACGTTCACACTATGTATTTTTCAGGCCATCCTGACTATGGCCATGGCTTCTGTTACCATTTATAACCTAATGACTCTTACGTTTACATCTCAGGTCAAAACCGCTCTTTTTATTTCCACATATGTCCAACTATTCACCTAGCGTCTCCATTCAAATGTCACAAAGAACATACCCAAAGGAGATCTTTCCTTTCAAGTCAAATTCCATTCAGAGTTCTCAGTCTCAGAGAATGGGGTCACCATTTATTTTCTTGCTCAAGATAGAAACTGTGCAGTCTCTTAACACTTTTTCTCCTTTTCTCTGTACCTCCACTATATCTGATCTAGCATCAAGTAATTTTAAGTGAATTGAGTCAACATTAAATTTCTTGTAGCAGTTTTTAACATCTCTATCTCCGTATCATACTCCATACATTCAAGCAATCATCAACTACTATGGATTTTAACCCATTACAGGTCTTTGAAAAATAATATTATCTGTAATTGGTCTTCTCAAGAGCCATCTGGCACCAATTAAATCCATCTTCTACATTTCAGATAGAATGATTTTTTTTTTGCCCTCAAATGTAATTATAATTATGCCATTCTTATGTGCATATCCAATTTACTTATGATAACAACAAAATACCTACCATGGCCTACAGGCTGTGCATGACTTGGCATATACTTTCCTCTTGAACCTGGCCTTATTGCACTTGCCCCTCTGCTCTCTCTACCTCAGTCACACCGACCTCTTATCAGTGTCTCTAGTGTGCCATTGTTTTTCTTCTTATTACATTTTCAACTCCATGATTTTAGGAAGCATATTTATTTTGCCTTCTATTACGTACTCAGTACAGAGTACAATGCCTTCAACATAGTAAAAGTTCAATATTAAACACTATCTACTATTTAATGTTATACTTGTGATATTTTTGCTTCCAGTCTACTACAAGTGCTACCAGTATCATCTCCTTGAAAAGATTAGTCACTTTTGAAGCATGGAAGGTTCAGTGCTGGGTGGGGATGAATTTGCTTCTTGTGTTTCTGAGATCTACCTCCCTCCTGCCACACAGAAAACTAGCCTTTGGGAAATTAATGCTACTGTCCAAGAAGGGACATGATCTTTTGTATTAAGAATCAAAAAGTGGATACTGTCAGGTGGATATCTGTTTCCCCCTACAAGACAATCAATAAATAGACCTCTATTTTTATTTCAAAGTATGTACTACATTTGAGATGTTCAGTGGAAGTGGAGTATTAGAGCCCTTTTCCATTTTAAGATTAGAAATACGTGAATATATTCATGGTAATATACCCCAGGATTAGAAAAGGAAAGAGTGGAGAGTTAAGTAATGGACAAAACTTGTGAGTTAATCAAGACAAGCGTCCCAGGTCCAGTACAGATGGGTGTGAAAAGAGATGGAACATTAAGAAAATCCAGCAAAGGAGCATTAAGGAAGTGAAGTCACCCTCCTCCTAAAGGCTTTGTTATCCTAGGAGCTGAGCTGGGGAGATTGTACTGTTAAGTGGTCCATCAGCGGAGGAAAAATAACACTTACACCAATACTGTATGTCAGGGATGACGCACTTGCTGTTATGGGTACAACAAAGAGTGTACCTGATGGATTCTTAAAAAGATACATCATCTTTGGAAATCTCTTCAAATGCTGTGTGGCTATGTCCCCTTATATCTTTGAAAAGGGCAGGCTTCATCCTACTGTTGCTGACGCTTTAGTAATTCTCCAAAGGGAATGCCATTGTCACACTCAATGAATCTAGAAAATGTCTGACTGCAGAAACCAAATTCTCCGGTTTATTAAGAATGTCTCAGAAGCCCTTTAAATGAGAAATTCCCAGAGATGCATTCATTCTCAAGCCCAGGGATTTGCTAACTTCTTTGTATCTCATTTTCAAACAGAGACGGGCTATGTGGCAGATTAAAGATGGCATCAAATTCTTCCCTTCAAGAGGTGAGTTCCACATGAGAGACTATGGACTCTGAAAAACAAACTGAGGGTTCTAGAGGGGAGGGAGGTGGGAGGATGGGTTAGCCTGGTGATGGGTATCAAAGAGGGCACGTTCTGCATGGAGCACTGGGTGTTATGCACAAACAATGAATCATGGAACACTACGTCAAAAACTAATGATGTAATGTATGGTGATTAACATAACATAATTAAAAAAAACTAAAAAAAAAAAAAAGAGGTGAGTTCCATTTTATCTCTCCTTCATCATGGGCTGGTCTGTGACTGCTTTGACTAATAAAGTCAGTGAAAGTGATACTAAACTCATTCTGGGCATAGCTTTTAAAAGCATTAGTCTTGCCCTCTGGAGACCTCTGATCTATGAAGTTAAGAAGTCTGACTACCCTGCAGGAGAGACCATATGGAGAAACCTTGAGACTTGATGGATAGAAAGACAGTGATTGAACAGAGCCCAGCCTTCTAGTCACTCGACAAAGGCACTGAGCATTGAATAATGCCATTGCCGAACCACCGTACCAGACAAGCCACCAGCTACCCTATGCCGTATGGTATATCCTAGCTGATCCCTGCCTGAAGTTTTAACATTAAGAAAATTGTTGTTGTTTTATGTCATTATGTTGGATGTAGTTTGTTACACAGCAATAGTTAAATGGGACTTTCTAGGAGGAAAGGTGAGGATAGGTGATCCAATTACCAAATATTCATGAAACTCACCTTTTACTTTCCCTCTGCCTCTGTCTTATCACTGAGAGATTTCTTCTTCTTATTATTTCTTATAAAGGGTGAATGTATCAGATTTTGAAGTTACAGGTTTTAGACACTCGTCACTGGAAGTGTCAGTTTTCTGGCATAGAATGTGGTTGCCATGACCTGAGATACCGGCCCTGCATCTAGCTGTGAGTGTGTGTGGTAGACTACATATATCTGCTGTAAATTTAAGACATATGATAGGTTAATTAAATAACATGCCAAATCATATTTATAAGTTATATGAGGACATCAATTTCTGGAATAACAGAGTGAAAACCTTGGTGACCTTACTCTCCCTCTAAAACAACAAAAATACAGGCAAAACAACTAAAACTAATCATTTAACAATACACTTGTCAATTCACTAACACCACAGAACAACCTGAAAATCATTTATCAAAGAGAAACTACTAAATTTCAGTTATGTTAGGGCAGGCAAGTCTGTGAAGGTTTAACTTGGGGCTATTGTTATTAGTGGTGTGATAGCCAAAAGCAGACAATGGAGAGATATGACCTACTTAGAGCTTCTTTAAAAACACCATCCCCACAATATTGCCAATATTTTATCCAAACTTGCAGCTCCCTGGGAAATCTCTATTCTCAGAGCATGGTGGCTATGTGATTTGATCCAGAGCTCAGCTCAGTGAAAGTGGGAAAGAGGAAGTCTACCCCCAGGTTCTTACCAAAACAAAGGCAAGTCCCAGCAACATCTCAGCTGCCTGAAGCTGTGATTTCAGTTGAGGCCAACAAGAGGCTGGCTGGAAATTTAAAAAGAAAATCCAACAGAACTAGAAAATCATAAGGAATTTTGAAAAGTTTCCACATATTTCTTGGAGACTAAACAGCTGTGAGAAAGCCCAGGAAAAATCTAGGAAAGAAGTCACTGGGCACTCCCTCTGACTGACTTGGAGGGTTTGAATAAACAGGAAGTGAAAGCTAAATCTGCCTTGTAAACTGTAGTTTGAAGGTTTGCATTCTCATATAGATCCATTTGGCAAAGGGTATAAATATAAAAGAAAGGCATTTAAGAAACTCTGACCAGTTATTGCCTGACCTTTAAATTATATTGATCCCAAGCATGATCCCTAAGAAGCCAGATTTAAAAATAAAAACAAGAACTTAAGAAAAAAAACAAAAGCTAGCAGAAGACTCAACTCAGGGGCCACACGTTGCAGAGAACACAGAATCTATAATTAGTCCAGGAAAGTTACTAAACAAATAAGCACCAATAAGAAAACAACAGCAACAACACCACACCAGCAACAGCAAACCTTGGGGACAGAGGAATCCGATACTAGAATTGAAATAACATATTACCTAAATGTCTAGTTTTCAACAAAAATCATGAGGAATGCAAGGAAACAAGAAAATATATCACATACACAGGAAAAGAATCAAACCAAACCAACCAAACAAACAAAAAAGAGAATGTCCTTGAAAGTACCCAGATTGTGGACTTAGTAAACAAAGTCTTTAAATCAGCAATTATAAATACAATGTGCTCAAATAACTGAAGGAAATTATGTCTAAAGAGTTAAAAGAAAACAAAAAAAAAAGTATGACAATGATGTCTGACCAAATAAAGAACATCGGTATAGGGACAAATTATTTTTTTTAAAAATAAAAACTCTGGAATTAAAAAGTACAATAACTGAAATAAATAATCACTGGAGGAGCTTAAGAACAGATTTGAGCTTGCAGAAGGATTAGTGAGCTTAAAGAAGCCAATAGATATTATCTAGACAGAGGAGCTGGAAGAAAAAAGAATAAATAAAAATAAACAGTGTCAGAGACTTGTTGGAAACTATTAAGTGTATCAATATATGTGTAATTGGAGCCCCAGAAAAGGGATAGAGAAAGAGGCAGAAAGATATTTGAATAAATAATGACCAAAAACTTCTCAGATTGATAAAAAAAATAATCAACACATTCAAGAAGCTCAGCAAACTCCAAGTAAAGTAAATCAGAGAGATCCATACCTAAACATATCATAGACATATCATGAAATCAAAGACAAAGAGAAAATGTTGAAAAGAGCAAGAAAAAAAAATGACACCACAGACAAGGGATCTTTACAAGGACTAGAATGATTTTTTTTTTTTTTTTTTTTTTTTAGAAACCATGGTGAGGGGCGCCTGGGTGGCTCAGTCAGTTAAGCATCTGACTTCAGCTCAGGTCATGAGATCAGGGTCCTGGGATTAAGCCCTACATCAGGCTCTCCACTCAGCAGGGAGTCTGTTTCTCTCTCTCCCTCTGCCCCTCTCCCTGCTCATACTCTCTCTCTCTTTCAAATAAATAAATAAAATCTTAAAAAAAAAAAAAAAAGAAACCATGGTGACCAGAAGACAGTGGGATGACATCGTCAAAGTATTGAAAGAAAACCACCATCAATCAAGATTTCTATAGGTAGCTAAATTCTTCAAAACTGAGTGAAAAATTACCACATTTTCAGAAAAATAAAAACAGAGAATTTATAACTTCCAGGCCTATCCCACAAAAAGAAAAAAATAGTAAAGGAAGTCCTTCAGAGTGAAATGAAAACACACTGAATGGTAACTCAAATCCACACAAAAATATAAAGAGCACCAAGGGAAGTAATATATAGGGATTATGAGCAACAATATAAACATATTTTACTTGTAACACTTTACTTGTCCAATCTATTTTTTTTTTAAGAATTTATTTATTTGACAGAGAGAGACACAGCGAGAGAGGGAACACAAGCAGGGGGAGTGGGAGAGGGAGAAGCAGGCTTCCCACTGAGCAGAGAGCCCAATGTGGGGCTTGATCCCAGAACCCTGGGACCATGACCTGAGCTGAAGGCAGACACTTAACGACTGAGCCACCCAGGCGCCCCTATCCAATCTATTTTAAAAGGCAACTGCATAAAGCAATAATTTTAAAATTGTTTATAGGCTTATAACGTAAAAATGTAATTTGGATGACAATAATTGTACAAAGGAGTGGGGAGGGACTGAAACATTGGAGCAAAGTATTATATACTACTAAAATTAAATTAATATTAATACTAACTGGATTGTTTTAAGTTAGAGTGCTTAGTGTAATCCCCAGGGCGATCACTCACTAAGAAAATACCTAAAAATACAATAAAAGTAAAACAAAGGAATGAAAAAAGGTACACTATAAAATATCAACTTAACAAAAAAGAAACCAGGGATTAAGGAATAAAGAAGACATAAAACATATAGAAAACATATAGCAAATGACAGACATAAATCCTCCCTTATCAGTAATTACATTAAATGAAAACATGTTCACCAATCAAATGTCTGAAATTGGCAGAATGGGAAAAAATAAGATCCAAATATAGGCAATCTAAAAAAACATGCTTTATATTAAAAGACACAAGTTAAAAGAAACAAGTTAGAAAAATATAATTTATGCAAAAGGTAGCCAAAAAAGAACTGGAGTGAGATACTAATATAAGAAAATAGATTCTAAGATAAAAATTGTTACTATAGGCAAAGAAGAATATTTGATATTGTCCAGGTCAATATATGAAGGAGATGATACTAAGCAGAAATGTATTTCAGCACAGAGCTCCAAAATACATGAAGAAAAATCTAATAGAATTGAAGAAAGAAATAGACATTAAAATACGATATCAGAGACTTCAACACCTACATGCAATAATGGAAAGAACAACCAGGAGAAAAGATCCTCTTTGAATAACAACTGCAATAACACTGTAAATCAATGGGAACTAAAAGACCTCTCTGGAAGACTCTACACAACAGTAGCAGAACATATATTCTTTTCAAGGCAAGACCATATGCTAGGTCATAAGACCAACCTGAGTAAATTTAAAAGGACTGAAATTATACAAAATGTGTTCTCCAACCACAGTGGAATTAAATTAGACATCAACAACAGAAGAAAATTTTGGAAATTCACAACTATGTGGAAATTAAATAACGCTCTTTTAAATAACCCAATGGGTTAATGAAAAAAACATAGGGAAGTTACAAAATAATTTGAGGAATGAAAATGAAAACACAACATACCAAAATTTACAGGAAGCAGATAACACAGTGCTTCGAGGGAAATTTATAGCTATAAACTCATATGTAAAAAAAAAAAGAAATCTCAAATTAATAACCTCATTTCCCAGGTTATGAAGTACAGAAAAAAGAGCAAACTGACTCGAAGCAAGCAGAAAGAAAGGAATAATAAGATTACAGTAGAAAGAAATAAAATAAAAGATAGAGAAAAAGCAATGAGATCAAAAGTTGTTTTTTTGAAAGGATCAAACAAAATTGATACACCTTTAGCTAGAGTCACGGAGAGAGAGAGACAGGGAGGGAAGGAGGGAGAAAGAAAACTCAAATTATTGCAATCAGGGATGAAAAAGAGACACCACTACTGATTGTACAGTAATAAAAGTTGTAATAGGAGAATACTATGAATAGTCATATGCCATTGTATTAGATAACTTCAATGAAATGGACAAATTTCTAGAAAGACAGAAACTAACAGAATTTACTCAAGAAGAAAAGATCATCTAAGAAGACCTACAACAGGCAACAAAATTGAAATAGTAATTTTAAAACTTCCAACAAAGAAAAGGCAGGCCTAGATGGCTTCACTGGTAAATTGTATCAAACATTTAAAGACAAATGATGACCAGTCTTTTACAAATGTTTCCAAAAAAAGTAGAAAAGGAAGTAACACTACCTAATCCATGTTGAGGCCAGTATTTTCCCAGTACCGAAACCAGACAAAGGTAACAACACAACAAAAAGAAAATCACAGACAAACATCCTTTTTGAATACAGATGCAACTGGGCGCTGCGCAGCGGGGCGGGGCGGAGCCGAGCGGTGCTAAGCGGTGCGGTAGGGTGCGGTGCGGTGAGGGGCGGGGCGGGGCGGGGCGGGGCGGAGCGTGCGCCCTGAAGTCTGCGCGTCGCCTCCGCGCCCGCTGCGCCCTGCTTGCAGCGGCCCCGGGGGCTGAGGGCGGGCGCGGTTCGGTCACTGCGCTCGGGCTCCGCTCTGCTCTCCGTGCCGAAATGCACAGACAAACATGAGTGGATAATAACAGAAAATGGTATTGGAACAGTGGGAATCAGCAATTTTGGACAGGAAGCTTTGGGAGATGTTGTTTACTGTAGTCAGCCTGAAGTTGGGACAAAACTGAACAAACAAGATGAGTTTGGTGCTTTGGAAAGTGTGAAAGCTGCTGGTGAACTCTATTCCCTATCAGAAGTAACTGAAATTAATGAAGCTCTTGCAGAAAATCCAGGACTTGTCAACAAATCTTGTTATGAAGATGGTTGGCTGATCAAGATAGCACTCAGTAATCCTTCAGAACTGGATGAATTAATGAGTGAAGAAGCATATGAGAAATACATAAAATCTATTGAGTGAAAATGGAACCCCTAAATAAACCAGTATGAAACAACTTAATCTAGCATAGTTGTTTCAGATTAGTGGTACACAGAGGATTTAAAATAGCAACTATTAGCAATACCAGTGGAGAAAGAAACTACTTGTAACAATGCTAATGGAAGAAAATACCCCTTAACTTCATAATGATTGCAGAAAAACACAACATGCATCTGTTTTGCAACACCCTCTGATTTTTATGCTCCAGTTATAATATTCAGAATCCTGAAATTATCTTTGGTTAAAAACTAGCTATAAAAATTATGTAATTCAAGGATGACATTGTTACCTTAAGCCTTAAGCTTACATCTATCCCTGGATGGGGGTCAAAATGCTTAAATAATCTTTCCATTGGAAATAACTGGCAGTAGAGAAAGGTTTGTTAGTTGTAATGTGTCAGATAAAGAACAACACTACCTTAATTTTGCAATATACTGCACTTGTTGGTGCTATTTTTATACAATGAAGCAACAGCCTTGCAGGAAGATAGTTTAATAATAAAGCATTGAACTTCTTCGTTATTCATGTTTTTTGTTTTACTCTTAATATTTCATGTAGTGACTCTGCTAGTATTTGTGAAAATGCTAATTTTAACTTACGGAAAGTTATTTTTTTAAAAGGAAATTTAAGCCGTAACAATGAAAGTTTCCAAGAAAATGTTTCCTTTTAGTCACAAATCTGGTTTTTCTTAAAGTCCTAATTGCCTGGTAGCATTAAGTACCATTTTTGGTCATCTTTAATATAATCAAAAAGAAAGCACAAAAAAAAAAAAAAAAAAGGAAAGAAAAGAATAGCAAACCAAACACATCAACATATAAAAAGGATTATACACTATGACCAATTAAGATTTATCCCAGTAATGCAAGGTTGGTTAAACATCCCAAAACAATAAATTTAATACACCATATTAATAGAATAAAGAATTAAAACACATAATCACCTCAATAGATGGGGGAAAAAAGTCATTTGAGGTAATTCAGTGGCCTTTGGTGATAAAAACACTCAACAAACTAGGAATAGAAAGAACTCCTTCAACCTGATACACACTATGAAAAACCCACAGCTAGCATAATACATACTAGAGAAAGGCTGAATGCTTTCCTCATATGATCAGTGATAAGATGAGAA